GTGTATCCATGGTGGCAGTTGGCCGGTGCCCGCTGTGTTCATGTCCGTGAGGTCTCAGCGAACCCTCACTCCCGACAACAGCCCCTGCACCCCGTAGCCAGAGGACAACCCTCACCATTCGTTTTTTTGTTTGTTTGTTTTCTTTTCAGATGGAGTCTCGCTCTGTTGCCCAGGCTAGAGTGAGTGCCGTGGCATCAGCCTAGCTCACAGCAACCTCAATCTCCTGGGCTCAAGCAATCCTCCTGCCTCAGCCTCCCAAGTAGCTGGGACTACAGGCGCTCACCACGACACCTGGCTAATTTTTTCTCTTTTTAGTAGAGGCGGGGTCTCCCTCTTGCTCAGGCTAGTCTTGAACTCGTGAGCTCAAGCGATCCTCCCGCCTCGGCCTCCCAGAGTGCTAGGATTACACCATGTCCGGCCAACAACCCTCACCATGCTGGGACCAGCTTTGCCCGAGTGTACCCAGAGCCAGTGGCCAGGGCCAGACGTGGGGAGGTGGATACACACTCTAGCCTCCCCACTGCCGATTGGAGACCCGCAGGTGCCTCCAGAGTCCCCTACGGGGTCAGTCACATGTACCTCCTGTGATGGGCTGAATTGGGTCCCCCCAAACTTTCCCTGCCTCAAAACTCACATGTTGAAGTCCTAACCCCTGTACCTGTCTGGGGACAAGGTCATTGCAGATGTCAATTATGAACAGTTAAGATGACCTCATACCAGAGTAGGGTAAGTCCCTGATCCAATGTGACCGTCGTCCTTATGAAAAGGGGAATTTGGACACACACACACACACACACACACACACACACACACGGGGAAGGCGTCATGTGAAGACTGGATTGCGCCACCACAGGCCTAGGAACTGCCAGGAGCCAGGAGGGGGCCTGGGGCAGATCCTCCCTCAGGGCCTTCGGAAGGAGTGTGGCCCTGCGGACTCCTTGACCTTGGACTTCGGACCTCCAGAACTGTGAGACGAGGAGTTTCTGAATCTTAAGCCACTCGGTTGGTGGTGCTTTGTCAAGGCGTCCCTGGGAAGTGAATCCATCTGCTGTGGGCCTTTGCCTGATGCCACACCCCTGCGTGGCCTTCCTCTCGGCCCTCCTCCTCCTCCCTCCTGGGGGGCACTGCCCAATCCCTGACGGTCACATGCACCCTCGTCACTGGGTAGGGTCCGCGTGTGGGGAATCCCACCTAAGGCCGCAGTTTGTAAGGAACCTGCTGCAAACTCGCCAGGGGCAGAGGACGGAAGTGGCGACCTAGAGTCTGCAGCCACATCCAAAGGGTGACAGCACTGCTCGGCTCCCGCCACGGGGGACACAGCAGGCTCAGTGTCACCTGGGCTTCCAATTTCTCAAGAGAAACTGGAAATGTGGATTAAAAAAAAAAGTGACCTCTGATTTTTAAATCTTGGCAGTCAACTCCATGCAGTCTGCTTCTTGTTTGTTTTTTTTAGACTATGCAGGTCCAACCCAAAGCTGTCTGGAGACTAGACTTGGCCTTTGGGGTGGCGATATGCAACCTCCAGTTAAGGGCTTGGCAGGGTCCACACACCCCACCTTTGTGTGGTGGGAAGAGCCATGAGCAGGAGGCAGGAGGACTCCCGAGATCTGCTCGCGATTCTACCACTGGTTAGCCGTGTGCACCTGCTTACAGACCTCTCTGAGCCTCAGTCTCCTGATCTGTAAAATGGGTAGCAGCTCGTACTCCTTTCCTGCCTCCTAGGGTGGCAACGAAGGCAGATTGATGTAACTTATTTAGCAAACACTTGGCAAGGAGCATGCTGAGCACATGATACAATGTTCACACCTGTTTCCCCCAGCAGCCCTCAGGAGCCGGAAGCGCTCATTTCACACAGGGCACTGAGGCTCGGGGAGGGTTAGTAACTTGTCCCACTTACTTGGATCTTATCTCCCCGCTGCTAAGCAAACCCTAGCGAGCTGACTTGAGTGTCTGCTTTTAGCACTTGGCTAAGAGCCTTGGCACTTGGCTGAGAGAGAGCCCTTGGCGAACGCCTCTCAATGCATTAAAATACTTCACAAGCTGCTGTTTTGGGTTTTTTGTGTTTGGGGCAAATAAGGAAGAGGGAGAGGAGTGGACGCCCGTGACACTCTCGTCAGGCTGCCCGCGGGATGGACGAGCGTGGGCTGGCCTGCCCTGGACGGGGGCCAGGCCTGGGCTCAGCCACCCGCCGCCCTTTCTTCTCAGCGGAGCATTTCCCGTAAGTGGTGGCTCCCTGCCCGCTGGCTCGCAGACCAGGACGGCAGCCAGCCATCGCCTGGGCTCCTCCTTTGTGACATCAGAGAGGTCTGGGCAACCGGGTCCCCGCTGCCCTCCCCACCCCAGCCTCCCTGCGGTGGAGGGCCGGGGCGTGTCACGGCAGCTGCTCTGGGCTCTGAACCTCATGGCTTTAATGTGCCCTCGACGTTGACATGCAGGGCAGGGTGCTGGGGGCTGCTCTGGGAGGTGACTCCGCGAGTGCGTGTATGTGTGCATGTGTGTACGTGCAAGTGTGTCTGAGAGAGCCCTGCATTGAGACCGGACCCCCAGGTGGGAATCCAGGCCTCTGTTTCCCCCGAGCTGTGAGGCCCTCGTCTGTGGCCTGGGCAGAGGTTCGCCGCTGGGCACATTCCCTGGGGTCGTCCATCTCCTCATGCACCCACTCGCTGCACGGCAGGCGAATGCCACCGGTGTGCCCGGCACTGTGCCTAGTGGACAGGAGAGGCACCCGTAGCACCCTTGTGGGGGATGGGGAAGAGAAAGTTCACCAAACCAGTAAGAAAACAAGAAAATTAGTGACCATGGAATGTCTAGAAAGGGAACAGACATGTTGGGCTGTGGCCTAGATCCCGGACCCTCGAGAGAGATGGGGCAACTGGGTGGGACACAAGGTGGGTTTCAGGGAAGACCCGTTGGAAGGAGACTTAGTATTTTCAGCCCTGAGAAAATCAGGAGAAAAGGGGCACCCCAACAGGGGAGACAGCAAGTGCAAAGGCCCTGAGGTAGGAAGGAGCTTGAGTGATCACAGCATGGGTGTGTGTGGGGGATGACGTGGGAAAGGCCGGCAGGTCCCCACCCAGCAGGACCTGGTGAGGGTAGCTTTTCTGGCAGGTACAGCCCACTGGGCCTCCAGCTGCTGGGGTAGAGACCAGCATCACGATCTTCCCAGCATTGGGCCCGTGGGAAGGACTCGCCAAGCTCCAGCTGCTCCAAGAGGAGGCCGAGGTTCAAGGAGCACCCTGCGCGTTGAGTAACAGCCACTGCCCACCCTTCCGGCTGCCTGCGGAGAAGGCCCTGTTGGCCTGACACCTCTGCCCCGTGTCCTAGCCCTTGAGCAATGAGAGGCTTTCTCCGGCCTGTTTGCCAACTCCTCCACGGCCCGGTGAGAGGCCAGGCAGGCCAAATCAAAGCTTGGCTGTCCCTTTTGTCCTCTGGTCTGGAATTTCCCCTCTCAGGAGGGTGCCCAGCTGGCCTAGAGAAGACCTTCACACCCGGGGAGAGGCAGACCCAAGCCGGAACCGGCTTCCAGCACAGAGCCTCAGAGAGGGAGACCTCAGGAAGGACTGGCCGCAGGGAAAGGCCACACGGAGGGGACAGCAATGACATTCGGTGCACACCTCCTCCGTGGCTGGCACTGGGCTGATCTCTTTGCACTGATCCATCCTTGATCCTTACGCCACCCTCTGAGGGAGGGGCTGGCATCATTAGGACATTGCGGGTGGTGACACAGAGCCACGGTGCAGAGAAGCAACTTGCAAACCACGCCGGGCTCCAGGTCACGCCGAGGTTCTTTATCCTGCAGGCAAAGGGCAGTTGGCACAAGAGGGTTCAGGAGCCAGGTGGGGGTGGGGTGGGTCGTGATCAGACCTGGGACTGGAACCCGGCCCCCCCCACCAGGCGGGGTGGAAGCAGCAGCCCCCAGCTGCCACGCCAGGGCCGGCAGCGCTCCCCACCCTCAGCGCCCTCGGTGGCACTCCCCCAGGTCCCCCAGGCACTCCCCGTGAGATCTGCCCGCCTGGCACCTGGCCACGGCCCTCCCATTCCTCCCCAGCAGGGTCGCCAGGCCTAGCAAACAAGAATAAGGGAACCCAGCTACATTAACCTTTATTTTCGCACAGGGTCCTGCCCTCACTGAGCTGATATTCGAGTTACGAGAGAATCAGAGTGACCAAACATGGGGGAAAACAGAAAAGGGATAAGAGAGATGTGAAAGTCAGAAGGAGCTATGGCGTAAAGATAGTAGTGGGTGGCATGTCAGGGAGGAGGTCACAGACGGCCGCTCGGAGTCTCAGCATGTGCCCTGGGGCGGCGTCAATGCAGAGGAAATGGCACGTGCAAAGGCCCCGTGCAGGGAACCGCCCCGGTGTGCTCCGAGAACCGGCTGCATCTGGCCGGAGTTGCAGGAGCAGAGAGGCGGGAGCCAGCAGAGGTTGACGTGACCGGTCCTCCCACACCGTCTTACAGGCCGGGATGGGAGATTGGCATCCACCCGCCCGCCGGAGGGTGCAGGTGGAAACCACCTGGCCGAGGACGGCGCCCGGAGTTTCCTCCTCTCACTTGAGCACAGGGCTGGGGACAGCCCTGCTAAGTCTGTGCTGAGCAGCCAGTTAAGGATACCTAGGGGGAGGCCCCTGTTGGAGGGGGAGTCTTTTGCTCTCTGGGCCAACCACCGCCATTTATCCGGCAAATGGGTTGCAGGTAAGGCCCAGGCCTGTGCTCACCTGGCTCCCTGGCTCTGGCCCCGCCCCCAACTTGCAGTGGCATTTCTTTGGCAAGTCATCTGCCATTCTCGACGACTACCCCCTGATAGGAAAGGGAGGGATTAGGTGAGTTTCTCAGGACGTCAGGCAGGACACACCTGTTTCAGGCGGGCTGAGAAGGTGGGGTCTTCCATCTCAGGGCTGCCACCACCAAACACAGGACATGGGAAGAAGAGGCAGAGGACAGAGGGCCCTGGGGCCTCCCCCAAACACGCTGCAAAAAACGAGCACGGGAGAGAAGCCTCCTGGTTTAAGAGATTTACTCATGTATTATTTATTATTGATTCACATACTTATTCGTGTATGATTGTCCACATGTGACATGTGGCCCTTATTAGGATGCAATTTAAAAAAAAAAAAAACGTGGGAGATACAAATATTTATGGGCAATCAGGGTTTGCACCCCGATGGGATGCTGGGTGAGATCTCTGCCACCGAGGATAACTGTTCATTTTGTAGGCATCATGAGGACACGGTGGCTTTTTACAATGGAGATACAATTCACGCCTCATAAAATTCGCTCTCTTGAAGTGTAACATCCAATGATGTTTAGCACAGTCATAAAGTTGTACAATTGTCACCAGTAATTCCAGAATATTTTCATCACCCCGAAAAGAAACTCTGTACTGATTAGCAGCTACCCCCTACTCCCTCCCCTCCCAGCCCCAGGCTGCGGCAACCCCCAGTCTACTTTCTGCTGTGGCTCTGCCTGTTGTGGGCACGTCACAAGCGTGGAATCATGCAGCACGTGGCCTTTGGTGTCTGGCTTCCTTCACTCAGCACGATGTCGGCAAGTTCCTCCACGTTGCAGTGCACGTCAGCGCTTGGTCCCTGGGATGGACACAGAAAATCCCGCCGCGTGGGCAGTCCACGTCTGTTCGCCCCTTCTCCCGTCCATGGCCGTCTTGGTGGCGATGAATGCCGCTCCTGTGAACGTTCACCGTCAAGGCCCTGGGTGAACGTGTTTCCAGTTCTCTCGGGCACACCCCCAGCAGGGGAACTGCCTGTGGCTTTGTTTCTCGAGTCTGTTTTCAGAGCCACATACTGAAATGTTAGGACGAAATGATAAGATGTTGGGGTTTGCTTCAAAAGCAATGGATGGGGGAAGTAGGAAACATATCCAAATACAAAGAGAGACAGTCTGTTGAGAATTTTAAATCGGTGACGGGTACTGGTGGGGGGTTTATTACACTTGCTGCCCTTTATGTTTGTTTAAATTTGGGCACAAAATCTTTTTGAATGTTGAGGCTCAGTTAGGAAAGGACTTTGCTGCCCGCTTTCTAACGCCTGCCCAACCACTCACTTTCCAGTGAGAGAAACGTAAGGAGAGCCGCGTAAGTGATTTTAAATTTTCTAGGAGCCACATCTAAAAAGTAAAAAGAAAGAGGTAAAATTCATTTTAATAGTACATTTTCTTTAACCCAATCTATCCAGAAGATTATCATTGCGACGTGGGAGCAATTACGAAATCATTTGCATATTATTTTCATTATTTTATTCCTATGAAGTCTTCGAACTCGGGCACGTGTTTTGCAGGACAGCTGGTCTCCATCCAGCCCCGCCCCACCCCAAGGGCTCAGTAGTGACTGTGGCTTCCAGATTGGACAGAGCAGCTTTGTTTCGGGGCATTTAATATACTTTTCACGAGCTCTGGTTTCTTCTTTTTTGACTTGGCTTTATTTATCTGCCCACAGCCAGAATATCCGCCCAAAGACCTTATGTCTGTGCGTGTCTAGGCGCCGTGTCACCTTATGTCTGTGCGTGTCTAGGCGCCGTGTCACCTTATGTCTGTGCGTGTCTAGGCGCCGTGTCACCTTATGTCTGTGCGTGTCTAGGTGCCGTGTCACCTTATGTCTGTGCGTGTCTGGGCGCCGTGTCACCTTATGTCTGTGCGTGTCTGGGCTCCGTGTCACCTTATGTCTGTGCGTGTACCTTATGTCTGTGCGTGTCTGGGCTCCGTGTCACCTTATGTCTGTGCGTGTACCTTATGTCTGTGCGTGTCTGGGCTCCATGTCACCTTATGTCTGTGCGTGTCTAGGCTCCGTGTTCCTGCACCACACTGGGCATAGCGGGGCATGCACTGGGTCTGTCCAGGTGGAAATCCAAGGCTGACTTCCACGTCCCTCCGCCGGCCCCGACAAGGTTGCTGGGCCCAGGAGACGGGCCACGGGAGGAACAACCTTCCTCCTTGGCCATCTGCTGTGCCTCCCTGCACGCCCCGCCTTGGCTGCCAGCATGGGGAAGGAGCAGGGCCGCGGCGGTGGGAGAAGCCCCTGTGAAATGGGCAGCAGCAGGAGGGCCACAGGGGCGGCTGTACAGACGGGAGGGTGGGAGCCGCTGTGTCGTGGGCCCACATGGGCCCGGGCCTGAGGTCACAGGGCTGCTGGATAATATGGGACAGCCAGGTAGATTTGAACTTGAGATAAACAACTGATCATTTTTTAGTATTAATATAAATATGTCCCAATTGCATGGGACATACTTACACTAAAAAATTATTGGTCGTTTATTTCACATTCAAATTAAGTTCCGTTCCCTTATTTTTAGTTGTTAGATCTGACGATCCTGCGTGGGGAGGGACGGCAGGGCCGTCTCCAGGTGCCAGGCAGGTAGATCTTAGGGCCCTGCGGGATCTTGGGGAGTGCCACCCGCGGGAACCCCAGGATGAGGAGTGGCGGCCGGCCTCCCAGGGCAGGTCTGGGGGCTGCCGCTGTCACCCTGCCTGGTGAGGGGATGGGGCCCTTTCTGGTCACGGGTCTCATCAAACTGCCCCCTCTGCAACCCCCTACTAACTGTCTATACCAACTGCCCTTTGCCTGAAGCTAAGGCGTCGAACATTCCAGGTGGCTCAGAGCCCAGCATGCCCGGCCAGGCCCACCCCTCCTGCCTCCCCCTGGCTGTTGTTCCCCAGCCCTTGTGCTCCTGCTCCCTGACCTGCGCTGGCCAGAATTCGCACTCAGGCCTCTGCCTCCTGCGCCTGGGCTCCCGGGGTCACTGGAGGGCAGGGCCGCCTGTGTTCCTCTGTCCACGGTGCCATTTGTCCTGGGTGCTCACAGTTTGGGGCCAACAGGGAGGGCCTCCTCTACTCTGCCATAAAGACAGGTGCCCCTCAGTGTAGGGGTGATGTGAGGCTCCCATCCTGTGTGCTGCTGGCCCATGCGGGTTCCTCGGACCCCAGGCCCCTCTGCTCATGACCAAAGTCACTGTCACCAGGGCCACTGTTTCCTGTGCCCCTACTCTGAGGAGGGCAGTCGACACATGTTTTCTCTAGTCCTTTACCTCTGCCAGGTGTGTGTGTGGCGGGGAAATGTGGCTCCACTTGATCGATGTGGAAACTGAGGCCAGAGAGGTGAAGTCCCCTGCCCAAGGCCACCCTGTCATGTTTCTAGCCAGGCCTGCCGACCCCGGATGTTCTCCTCCAGGGGTCGCCCAGAGGAGAACCGGTGGCTGTCTGGGCCTGGAGCCCCTTCCCTGCAGGGATCAGAGCGGGACTGCTCCTCTGCTCCTCAAACCTATCGGGGCCAAGACCAGCGGAGAGCGGTGGTGGGGAGAGGGTCATTGTTTCCCCAAAGCCCAGCCCCCAAGCAACCCCCCTCCCATTCTTATTAAAAGCAGATTCCCAAGCCCGGCCCTGCAGATTCAGGAGGCCTAGAGTGGGGCCCTAAAATCCATCTTGTAACAGGTGACTCTGCTGCAGCCAGTTTTCGAACCCATGATGAATTGCCTGCACGACCTCGGGCTCTCTGCCCGCCCTCCAGGCTGGGCAAGCTGACCCCGTCCAGGAGCGTGTGGAGGGAGGGTGCGTTCCACTGGGGAGGGAATAACAGGGCCTCGCGCTGGCCCCTGCATCCGCAGCCTCAGCCCTCTGTCCCCACGTGGACAGGCCAGGGGAGGAGAGTGACCTCCAGATGGCAGGAGCTGTGGCTGTGTCTGGAGGCATCCCCAACCCAACGGCTGAGAATGACAGTTGGTCCCCGGTGGGGATCCCAAGGGGGTTTTCCCACCTCCCACCCCTGTGGGGGATTCTTTGAGCCCCAACTCAGCACATACAACAGCTGCTGGTTCTCAGGGTCACAGGAAAAACCCTTTAGTTCTGCAACGGCTTCTGGCCTCCAGCGTGGGGCCCTCCTCCCCCACACCCCTCCCAGGCCTCTGGGGCCGTTGGGGAGTGCGTCTCTCAGTTTGACACTTCTGCACCCCGAGCCTGATTAGGGCAGGAAGAGCCAGCCTGCCTTGGTGGCTTAGAGCCTTGCAGTGGAAAGGGTGGTCCAGAGAGTAGCAGCACGGGCCCCTCCAGGGAGCCGTGAGCAATGCAGACTCTCAGGAATGCATCTGAATGCATCTGCATTCTCACCAGAGCCCAGGTGATGGCCTGCACATTAAAAGGGGATTCATTTGCACGCTGAGGTGTGAGAAGCACCAGTTTGCTATAAGACACAGGTTCTCCACCTTGGTGCCCAACACCTGGTAGCTCCGACAACCCTGGTGCCAGGTTCCACCTGCGGAGAGCCTGATTTAACTGGTCTTCAGTGGGACCTGGGCAGTGGGGCTTTTAGAAGCTACTCGAATTGCAGCAGAGTTTGGCAAATACTTTTTTGTTGTTGTTGAGACAGAGTCTCACTGTGTTGCTCAGGCTAGAGTGAGTGCCATGGCGTCAGCCTAGCTCACGGCAACCTCAAACTCCCGGGCTCAAGCAATCCTTCTGCCCCAGCCTCCCAGGTAGCTGGGACTACAGGCATGCACCACCATGCCCGGCTAATTTTTCCTATATATTTTTAGTTGGCCAATTAATTTCTTTTAATTTTTAGTAGAGACAGGGTCTCGCTCTTGCTCAGGCTGGTTTCAAACTCCTGACCTTGAGCGATCCTCCCGCTTCAGCCTCCCAGAGTGCTAGGATAACAGGCATGAGTCACCGTGCCTGGCCAAGGCAAATACTTTAAGTCTTGGCTCCTGCAGATGGCATTCTGTGCCCAGGAGAAAGCACCCTCCCTCCACACACAGCGGGCAGGCTCTTTGTGGGGTCAGCTTAGGGAATGGGGTGGGGATGGGGGCAGAAAGCCCCTGGCGGCCCAGGGATTGGAGGGAAGGGCAGCCTATCTCCACCCCTACTCATGGGGCCCAGCAGTGGGAAAACTGAGTCAGGAGCTTGCGGCTCAGCTGCCCTTTCTGGGGTCACCAGGGGTGAGGAAGGGGCACCTATGGCCCCCGAGGAGAGGACCAAGGCCAGGAGCAGCAGCCCTGGCATCTTCGTGCTCAGCCCCCTGCTGCTGCTGGGGGGTTGGCAGAGAGGAGAGGGGAGGGACCCTCTCCTGGGCCAGGAAACACTCTCAGGTGACAGGCCTTCTTTCCCGGGAGATACCCAGGAAGACCTTCACATGGAGAAGCACTGCTATTACTGCGACAACAATAACGACAATACTCCGTGCTCAGTGCGCCTGGCACCCACACACGCAATCTCCCTGCGGTTCCGAAACTGGCTGCAGCAGCGTCACCCATTACAGGGCAGATGCCAGGCCCCGGTCCCGGCCTCAGGAATGCCCTGGGCCGGGCCTGGGAATCTGCTTTGCCCGGGGGCCAGGCGTTCTGGGCGCAGAGACTGCCGGGAAGCACCCCCCCCCAACCTGGGATGCGGCTGGGTCAGGCCCACGTTCATGCATTCCCGCGTCGCTCGCTCCCTGGACATCCACTGAGCATCCGCACACTCACAGACCCCTCCCCGCCCTCACTACCCTCCAGGATCGCCCTGTACCCGCGGCCTCAGCCCTCGGTCCTGGCGCCTCCCCCCGCGCGCCCCCTGCCCGGCCCCGCCCCCGCCGGGAGCCCCCTCCCCCGCCCACGGCCGCGACTGCGCTCTAGGCCCGCACGCCCCGCCCCCACCCGGCGACCTGAGCGGAGGCAGCCCCGAGGGGCGCGGGCTCCAGACTCCAGACCCTCCGAGCCTGCCCCGCATCCTGCGACCAGCGACCAGCGGAGCGCCAGCCTGGGGCGTGGGCGCCAGGTGGGCTTCCCGGAGGATGAAGCAGGTAGGCGGCGGCGGGGATGCTGGCGCTGGGCGGAGCCGGGAGCAGCAGGGATGGGCCGAGCCCGGGGCCTGGGGCAGGGCTGGAGCCCCGTGGTCCAGAGGGTGGACAAGGCCTCGCCTGGCGCCCCGCCAGCTCTGAGGGGTCACTTGGGACCCCAGCAGGTGCGCAGTGGAGACCAGCCCAGGAGTGCAGGCCAGGCCTGCCACCTGCCCTTGTGTCCCTCCAGGCCCTGGTGGACGATACTGAGGATGTGTCCCTGGACTTCGGTAACGAAGAGGAGCTGGCCTTCAGGAAAGCCAAGATCAGGTACGCCGGGATTGAGCTTTGGGGACTCAGTCCCCAACGCTGCAAATTCGTTCACTCACTCATTCATTCATTCAAAATATATTGAGCACCGACTGTGTGCCAGGCATGGGGCTTAGGGGCACACTTGTGGACACCTCAGACAAGGTCCCTGCCCTCCTGTGGTCTGCAGTGCGCTGGGGGAGGGGGAAGGGGCGGAGCTAACATCGAACAGGTGAACAAAGAGATTAGTGAGATAACTACGGAGTGTAAAAGGAAATCAGCTGGGTGATGAAAGAGAAAGTAACCAGGAAAGGCCACTTGCCTTAGTGCAAGCCACCAGGGCCTCTCTGAGGAGGTGATGTTTGAGGTGAGCACTGAGTCATGAGAAGCAGCCAGCCATGGGAAACTCCGGAGGAAGAGTGCTCTAAGCTAAGGAACAGCAGGTGCAAAGGCCTTGAGGCTGTTGGAAGGTCAGGGAAAGGCCACTGTGGCTGGACGAGTGGGAAAGGACTTGATTTTTATTCTAATCCCTGTGCAACTCCAGCCAGATAGACGTGCCCTGGGTCAAGTCACTTGCTTGCCTGAAACCTTCGGCATCCCTGAGGGCAGCAGGACCAACACGTGAGGAATGACCGGTGAACGTGTTTGCAGAGGCCCCAGGCAGCTGCCACGTCTAGAAACACCCACAGCTCAGCTGCACTCACTCACCTGGCTCTGCCCCCCCCCTCCTTCTAGCCATCAGAGCCAGCAGGTGTGGGGCCCTGGCACCTAAATGCGATTCCTTTTAACCACTCTGGTACGAGCATCGACTATAGTCGATAGCCACAGGTGAACGCGCATAGCCAAGCGTCGACTTTAGTCAACAGCCAAAAGCTTTTACTTTTGCAGCTTTTATCTCTGCAGTTGCGGTGTGTACGTTCAGCTAATAAGTTACTATGAATCTGTGACCTTTTAACAAGTCCTTAGTAGGAGTTATTATAGTTATTTTCCTAAAGCTGCCTGTAAAGTAAAACAAGCGTTCAGTGCTTTAAAGCTTTCCTCATCACACAAGAGCAAAACGGATTTGTCGTCAGTGCACAGCACAGACTGTCGTGCGGACTGAGAGTGTCGGCCGTGGGCAAGGTTTCGCGGCCAGTGAGCGCCGCACGGAAGTGGTTAAAGTCTCTGTTGTTGAAATCAGTGATTCTAATACGATAAACCCCAGAATGGAATAGACTGTTAGTTTCCTATGGCCACTATAACATATTACCATGAACGTGTTGGTTTAAGACAACAAGTTTATTCTCCTGCAGTTCTGGAGGCCAGAAGTCCAAAATCGGTTTTGTGGTGTTGTTGCCACGGTGTTGTCGGGGGGGCCCTCCTTTCTTCGGCGCTGGTGGGGGGGGTCTTTTGTTTGCTTTTTTTTGCTGCTGGTGGTGTTCTTGGTGTTGTTGTGGTCTCTTCCTCCTTCCTGCCGGCCGTGTGTGTCGCTCCCTTCTCTGTTTGCTCTTGCTTTGTGTGTGTGTGTGTGTGTGTGTGTGACGTCTCCCTGTCCCTCGGTTACAAGGACAGCTGTGATGGCGGTTAGGGCCCACCTGGGCAATCTGGGGTAGCCTCTGCACCTCAGGATCCTCAACCGAATCGTGTCTGCAGAGTCCCCTTTGCCGTGGAGGTTGACATTGACAGGTGGTGGGATTAGGACCTGGATGTGTTGGGGGCCGTTATGCACCCTACCGTCGTGAAGACACCGTAGGAGAACTGGAATCTGGGATAACGAATTTTATAGAACATCGAACCCATTAAACATTCAGTCTCTGCTGAGCGTTTCCCTGTGCCCGTCGCTGGGCTGGCGGCTAGGGATGTCAGTGTGCGGGACACAGCCCCGCCTTGGCCGAGTTGCCCAGGCTAGGGCTGGGTTGCTTAATCTCCGTGCTCCTGACACTTGAGGCCACATGCTGCTTTGTTGTGAGGACTGGCCTGTGCATTGCAGGGTGTCCTGGCCTCTGCTCACCGGGTGCTGGCAGTGGCATACAGTCCCAGACATTGCCCAATGTCCTCCGGCGGGGCAGTGACTCGCCCCGGTGCAAAACCATTGGCTTGGGAAGGGAGTCGGCATGTCACTGGCTGCTATTAGACAGCACTGTTTTAAATGCTGTAACAGAAGAAGCTTGGGCCCTTATCCTGGTCAGAGGAGGAAGTGGCAGCCGGGCTGGACCCTAAGGTTGGGTAGGAGTTGACTAGGCGGGGAAGGGTCGATACCCCCTGCAGAGGCTTGGAGGCGAGGTCACGAGTTTAGGGTGCTGAGCGTGGTTTGTTCGCCCCAGGCCAGGGGTACTGGGCAGTGCCCTGAGTAGAGGCTGGGGCTAGACCCTGGAGGGCTGGTAGGCTGAGTTCTAGACCTGCACTGTGCACTAGAACTTTCTACAAGGATGGGAATGTGCTGTGTCTGTGGTGTCTCATACGGTGGCCCCTGTGGGTATTGAGCATTTGAATGTGGCCAGTGGAACTGAGGGGCAGACATTTTGATATTGTTTATTTAATTTATTTTTTAGTTTTTATTTTTTTTGAGACAGAGTCTCACTCTGTTGCTACGGCTAGAGTGCCGTGGCGTCAGCCTAGCTCACAGCAACCTCAAACTCCTGGGCTCAAGCGATCCTCCTGCCCCAGCCTCCTGAGTAGCTGGGGCTACAGGCATGAGCCACCATGCCCGGCTAATTTCTTTCCTATTTTTGGTAGAAACGAGGTCTTGCTCTTGCTCGGGCTGGTCTAGAACTCCTGACCTTGAGCGACCCTCCCACCTCGGCCTCCCAGAGTGCTAGGATTACAGGCGTGAGCCACCGCGCCCGGCCAATTTATTTAATTTTGATTAAATGTAAATAGCCACATGTGGCTCTAGCTTTGGACATTGCAGTTCTAGGGTTCGGGCACCACTGAAGGACTTCGTGCAGGGCGGTGATGCCATCAGGATTGCTGGGTAGTGGACGGACGGAGGGGCCGAAGGGAGCGCAAACTGGGACCTGGGACCAGGACATCGGCAGGGGCGGTGGAGAGAAGGAACCAGAGGCTCACAGGAGGTAGAACCAGCCTGCCTCGAGGGGGGTGAAGATGTGGGGTGGAGACAGGCATAAGGGTGACAATCAGGTTTCTGATCCAGTGATCCAGGCAAAGGAGCATTTATGGGGGAAAGATGTTGAGCTCAGAGTGGTCCTTGTTAGGTTGCAGTGGAACGTTCTAGTAGCCAGGTTCAGTGAGCAGCTGGGAGGAGGGACCAGTAGCTGTCAGAGTCATGAGGGCTGCAGTCAAAGATCTGGGAGGCAGCCGCTCTCGGATCTGTGTGTGTGTGTGTGTGTGACAGCCACCTATCCCAGAATCCTCTGGTGTGCCCAATGCAGATTCCTGGGTCTGGCCCGGGAGTGACCAGGCTCACAGGGGATGATGGGCCTAGGAACATGAATTTAAAATAGCACCCCACCCCTAGTTGATTCTGACGTGTAGGAATGTAAGAGGTGGCTCTAAAATCCCAAGAATAAATGAGCTCACCTGGACGGCATGTGGATTGGGATTCTTAACTGAGGTCTGAGGATGGGCTTTGGGTCCAAACTTTATTTGGATTATCAGGTGGGTCCATGATACAAAAAGTTAAGAATTACTAGTTATAGGCTGAAAGTTGTTATTCGTAAATTCATTGTAGAAATGGATTCCAGGGAGACTTTGAAGGGAGGTGATATTATGCGAGGAGCCTGGGCTATTGAGTCCACTTCCTCCTTTACCACTTGCTGGCTTCGTGGTTCGGGACAGGTCACCTTGCCTTGCTGAGCCTCCATCGACCTGTCTGTAAAATGGGGACAATTGCACCAGCCCGACTTCACCACGTGGGTGCTATACAACGTATTCGGTGCCTATTTATCCAACACCTGCTGGGTGCCAGGCGCTGGGCCAAGCCCTGGGGGTGGAGATGTGGTCCCTCCCCATTCTGTCCCTGGTTCCCAGTCAGTGAGGTGAGTGGGCTGATGGGGGTGGGGGACCCAGGGGAGGGCGTCTTACGGGATCAGCGGACCATGTGATTCCACAGCACACGCAGGGCAGGGGGAGCAGACGTTAGCTGTGGTGCTGTGTGTGTTTTCCCCCCCCCGATGGGCTAACGTTTTATTTCTTTTTACTTTTTCTATCGTGATCAAACATAACAACATAAGACTTACCATCATAGTCACTTTTCAGTCCAGCAGAGTCAAGTTTGGTCACATGCTTGTGAAACAGATCTTTTTCGTCGAGTAAAAGTGAAACTCGGTTCCGTTGAGCAGCGCTCCTTTCTCTGGCTCCTGGTAGCCACCCTCCCACTGTCTGTCTCTCTATGAATTTGACTGCTCCGGTCACCGCATCAGAGTAGAATCATGCATATTTGCCCATCTTGCGTATTTCACTTAGCGTCATGTCCTCAAGGTCTGTCTATGTTGTAGCACGTGTGCGAAGTTTCTTCCTTTCTCAGGCTGAAGAATACTCCATTGCAGGAATGTACCACGTTTTGTCTACCTGTGTAGACACTGTCTACACAGTGGACACTGGGCTGCTCCCCCCACTCGGCCGTGTGACTAGCACCGCAGTGGACATGGGGGTGCAAATACCTCTTTGAGATCCTGCCTTCAGTTTTGGTGGATACATACCCAGGAGTGGGATTGCTGGACCACATGGGGTAGTTCTATTTTTAATGTTTGGAGGAATCTCTGTATTGTTGTTTATAGCAGTGGCACCATCGTACAATCCCACCGATAGCGTCCGAGGGTTTTGGTTTCTCTACGTCCTTGAGAGCATGTTCTGGTGTGTTTGATGTTAGCCACCTTAAGGGGTGGGAGGTGGTGTCTCATTGTGGTTTAGTTGGTAGTTCCCTAATGATTAGTGACAGCATCTTTTCATGTGGTTAGTGCTCATTTGTGTATCATCTTTGGAGAAACGTCTATTCAAGTGCTTTGCCCATTTTTTTAAGCAGTTTATTTAATTTTTTATTGTTGATTTCTTTATGTATTCTGGATATTAATCCCTTATCA